CACCCAAACATGAATTAGAATTAGTTCACAGAAGTTCAGTAATGGGTTGCATCTGCATTAAGGAAAGCGGGATCAAGAGACAATGAATCCATGTGCAAGATATCAAGCACAGTCTGAACATTTTCCTCAGTGGCAAGAGGTTTTGCTTCAGAAATGAGGCGAATTGACAGAAGGCCCGATCAGCAGCAGCCTCAGGGGGAAGGCAAGCCTATCGAGAGGAGGCAGGAGAGGCGGCCTCCCCGTGAGTGACAAATTGACAAACCTGCTGAAGAAAAGGGTGAAGGAGGAGAATTTTCTGTTGATGAGCCAATTATTGATCATCCTATCCATGGCCATGGCAGCCCAGGTGAATGGGGCAGCCGTGGTGGCCAAGGATGTGGAATGGGTAGAGGAGATGGCTTTTACTCCCAAGGCAAACATGAATTTGATAGACTTAGTGGAAGTGACAGATCTTCTCTTTCACATTTCAGTGGCTTGAGTATTTGGATAGTCAAGAATGTGTCCCTTGGAACCTGCAATCCATGAAGAATCCAATCAAAAAAAAAACCAGTTGCCCAAAACTGCAGGAAAGATCCCTCCTGACATTTGGATCCCATTCCAATTAATTTTGGGTTTCTTCCCCCTCTCTGCGGGTTGCATTCCTAAAAGGGCCATTTTCAATGCTCTGAGCAAATCTATCCACATTTTAATTGAAATTTGTTATAAGAGCATCCCACTGTATCACAGGAAAGAAAATTGTTCTTCTTGGATTTTAAGAACCAAACATGTCCCTCACTTTGTGGCATTGTTTCTCCATATTTTTACATATGTCTATAACAGAAAAAAAGAGTATGCACTGTAGTTGGCTAATGCCCCACAGCTGATGAGAGTTTCCTAGCAGATGTTGCCAAATGTACTGTGTTTGTAGGCTCACCCGTATGAAGACATCCGTTTGCATGTAACACATTCTTCTGGCTCCCAGAATAGTCTTTAGAAGACCTAATAGTGTACTCTTCAGAAAACAAAAATATACCACCAGTTGGCAGTTTAGGGAGCCCAGCTACTGTGGTTCTCCTGTTCTGTTCAGAGCAGTGGTTCTCAACTTAGGGGTTGGGACCCCTGGGGAGTTGCAAGGGGATTTCAAAGGGGTTGCCAAAGACCATCAGAAAACATATTTTTGATGGTCTTAGGAACCCCTTTGGCAGAGAAGGCTGAAGATTTTTCTGCCTGTCCTTCTCTTCCTTTTTGGAAACAGATGGCGAATTCTCACACCATTATGCTCTGTGATTGGCCAGCCTCTTAGCCAACAGGAGGGCTGTTTCTGAGACTCCAAGGGAGGGGGGGGAGCAGGCATGTTTGGTGCATGGCAATGTGGTGCGCATATGCGGGCGAGGGAGAGCATGTGAGGGTGGAAGGAGGTTCGCACTAGTGAGTCCCTTCAAGGCATGGGGGTTCTGTGTGGGAAGCTTGGCCCAATTCTATTGTTGGTGGGGCTCAGAATGTTCTTTGATTGTAGGTGAACTATAAATCCCAGCAATTACAACTCTCAAATGTCAAGGTCTGTTTTCCCCAAACTCCACCGGTGTTCACATGTGGGCATATTGAGTATTCGTGCTAAGTTTGGTCCAGAGCTATCATTGTTTGAGTGCACACAGCTCTCTGGATGTAGGTGAACTACAACTCCAAAACTCAAGGCTAATGCCCACCAAACCCTTCCATTGTTTTCTCTTGGTCATGGGAGTTTTGTGTGAAGTTTGCTTCAATTCCATCATTGGTGGACTTCAGAATGCTTTTTGATTGTAGGTTAACTATAAATCCCAGCAACTACAACTCACAAATGGCAAAATCAACATTGTCCCATGGGAGAAGAGGCGCTTCTCACGAGACCTGGCCAGGAAGGAGAGTGGCCTGAGCAGCGCGGGAAGCAGCCCAGGGACCCGGCTGCCAACAAAGGAGAGGCCTGGGCCTGGGCCTGAGCAAGGAAGGCAGCCAGGAAGGGAGGAAGGATGGGGAGCCTGCATGGGAGGCTGCCATGAGCCAAGGCGGAGGAGGAGGGGAGCCCGAGGCCAAGGCAGCTATAGTATGTAATTTTATTATTATTTTAATTTTATACCCGGCGTACTAGACTACCCCCAAAATTTTATAAGGTTTTACATGCCTAAAAAGTTGTCTAGTACCCCGAAATATACGGTACTTCCTTTGTTAATTTCAGAGAACTTGGAAATTTGCAATGCAACACTGTGTTTATTTGGAAAAAATTGACATGGTTCACAAACAAATCAGCAACTTACCGTAGTAAAGGGTGCAATTTTACACAAATTGGTGGTCTCTGGCTCATGATAACTATTCAATGTTTTGAATTTTTTTAAAAAAAACTTATATGCTCTTCCCCTCCTCATAGGTATATATGAAATACTAAGTCTTTAGTAATAGCGCAACAAGACTTTTTGCGTAATAACATGGCTACCATTCTAAAATTGTAAACATTATAAAAATGGAAATAAGATCTACCTTCATGCAACCATTCAAGTAAAGGACAATTATACACCATTTCATCATTATACATCATTATCACTTTATCATTATATATCATTGAAACTTAGTTCAAATAATACCATTATTCTTACAGGTAAAAAAAAGATCTAAGTCTTGGGAACGTAACAACAAACTAGAGAATATTATTATTCCTAGTGATATAGATATATATTAGGAACCTAATAGCAGTTAGTATAAGGATGAAGGATTGCAATTACTACATACTATATCAAACAAAATCATGAGTTCAGTTCATTTACTCCTGTATTCCCTTCTAGAGTTGAATGTCAGTGTGAGTCTGTTTGAATGAATGAGGGGCCCAGTCAGGAAATGAACACAATATATGTGTTCCGTTTTATAAGCAAGTTGAGAGCAGGCCTCCGATTAAAATAGCACAGCATGGTTCCCAGGAGGCACCTGGAGGAGGTTATGTCATCTTTCTCAGAGTTAATTGACAGTTAGTGTTTTGCTCAGGACTTTGTTTCTGCCAATAAGTTGTGCCATTAATAGGCTTACCTTGTTTTGTTGTTCTGCACAAGTCGAAAATACTGTGACATATATACAATGAGCATGAATGGTCATGTTTACAGTAGGATGCAGACCCAAACCAAGTTAGAGAAACAAATTTAGAACTCAGTAAAGGCTCTATTCTGAAGCTCGATCCATAATAGACCATTAAGGGAATTATTGAATGCATTTTACAGTGCTCCGTCACTTTCTAAATGCAGCAGTAGAGAAATGTATTACAGTCAGATGATAGCTGGACCTCCTTGAGGTCAAAAAAATTTCCCTGTGCTTTAAGGAAACAAAGATTTGATTCCTAATGCAAGAAGTGCGTATGTTTTTCTCGCTATGTATTGATCAGTCCTGAACTGCCAAAAGATTATACAGGGTGTTACACAATATAGGATTGCATTGAGTCTCTGTGGAAATGAGTGCTTGCATGAACTGTGTGGTTTTTCTCACTCTCCTATGATGATATGAAAGGGATCCATTCCAATCTAATAATTATAATCCTGACCAAAGCCCTGTGTAGACATTCCTTTCATTACAATAAAACAGATCAAATTTCTTCCATAAATCATACCCCAGTACTCTGCAGATGAAAGCCCCTCCATCCATTCATCCTACTGCCACTTCCCTAACCTTGGAGAAAGAGAAGAAGAGCTTCATCTTGCCAAGGCCAGAAGCAGATGAAAGGCCCTACTTCCATCTCATCTGTCACTGACATGGCATCAGAGGCAAAGAAGATGTGGCAAGAATAGGTCCATGGTGCCAAGTTCTATAATGAGATAAAAGGTCCTCCTTCCATCCCAGCTGTCATTGCCCTGGCCTCAGAGGAAGAGAAGAACGGGCAGCATCTGCTGGACCTCATCTTCCTCCACACTGCCGTTCCCTTTTCCTTTTGTGCCACATCCGGATTAGAAATGAAGACATGGCTTCTTAAACAGTGTCCTAAGCAGCCATGGGCCTAAGCACAGAATGTGTATTAGGTTATACTTTCACTTAATAGATATTATAGATTTGAATCTTAACAAGACAGCATTTCTCTCCTTCCTCCCACATTAATGTGGGAAGGAGCATTTGCAAGTTTCATTCACTCTTTCATTGTTATTAGGGCTCCAGAATCTCATAGTGATAAGGGATCCATAAGAAGTAAGTTCCAACAGAGGGTACTTTACAAGAAGGAAAGGGATGCTAAGAGTTTTGTTTCATGTGCATGCTACAACAGAGTTTGGGGTTCCATCCTCAGTGATGTTCAACAGGATATCTTCCAAAGTATGCAACAGCATCTCTTTTATATTCCATTCCCGATGATCATGGAGATGTTTAAAATATGAGCATTTTTCAACTAGGGCAGCTTCAAAAGAGGACTGCAGAAATTGATAGAGGATGAAGCTATCCGTCATTATATACTGTATATTACCTCCAGTATCAGAGCCGTCATGCCTTGGTGTCATCATTACTAAGCAATGGGAGTGCCATTTCACTCATGTCTGCCTTGGGGCTTTCCATGTGAATTGAATGCTGACGGGCCTTTGATCTGATCCTGCAACCCTCTTCCAAATTAATAGAATTAAAATAATAGTTAAGAATTTTAAAAGCATGTCCTTTGTCTTGGCTAGTGAAACATTTATATTAAAAACTTCATCATACTAGAGCATGGATCCACTTTAAATCCGGTTTCTGCCTCCTGCAGAATTATGGGGTTTGTAGTTTAGGGAGGACCTGGACCTCACTAAACTACAAACGCCAGAATTCTTCAGGAGGCAGCAACCGGATTTAAAATGGATCCATGCTCTAGTGTGATGAGGCAATAAACAAAACTTTACTTTATTTGGTTACCCACACATAAAGTTGACTAATAACTAGAGCTTCCTGCTTAGTACGGTTACAAAACTTAGATTATTTACACAAATATCCGTATGCTTTTTCTTATCTTACACTCTTCCTTATCGTTCATGATTTCAAGATAGCTTTCTTACTTGTTCTTCTCGACATCCAAGATAAGATTTCTTCCTTCCGCTGTTATACTGACTTCTGCTCTGGGTGGATACTGCAAGAAAAATAGAATCTGTTCGACATACACACACATACTCAAAACAAGAGGCTTTAGATAATCATATTTTAGTAGATGAAACTAGGATATAAATAAATATTGTAGTCACATTCACAACCCTTATGTTTACTGAATATTGACGCAGCAGTGAACAAACCTAAAAGCTTCCATTAACACTAGTTTCTGAGAATCATAGAGTTGGAAGAGAACACATGAACCATCTAGTCCAACCCCCACCATGCAGGAAAAGCACCATCAAAGTATCCCTGACAGATGACCATCCAGCCTCTGTTTAAAAACTTCCATGGAAGGAGCTTCCACCACACTCTGAGGCAGAGAGTTCCATTGCCAAACAGCTCTTACAGTAAGGAAGTTCTTCTTAATGTTCAAGTGGAATCCCCTTTCCTGTAATTTGGGCCCACATCAGCCAAGGTAATGGTTAATGGCCTTACTTGAAACCAGTTAATGATAGTTTCAAGGCTGAGATAAAACAGGACACTATAGTAAATGAATGATTTCCAGGAAGGGTTGGTCCAATGTATTCTGCTACTTGAGGCAGAACAGCAAAGGGCATCCCACTCAGTTCAAGATACATATAGCCAAGACAGTAAAGTTATTTTAGCACAAGAGACAAATTCTCAAACAACTCTTTGTGCCCAGCAGTCAAAACACAATGAAAACAAATTAAGTAACAAGTTGCTATTAGTAGTGGTTGGTTGATCTTGAGTCTGTGAATTCACTCAAGGTTTCAGCTAGGACTCAAAAGGATGAGCTAACCTGGAGAACTCTATTCCCTAAATAGATTCAGCACCATGGATAGCTCCTTCAGATCTATCCAGAACTTGGAGTGGATTATCTGCCAGTAACAAGAGATCCACCAGCCACCACTACAAGTTGCTCTTTCATCATGACACTTAAAATCTGCTACATAAAGGAGATACTCTACCCTTCTCAGTGGTAAGGCTATCTCTGATCTTGATTTGGTTTATTTTTCTGTCCCAAATGTAACTCCTACAGGGCCTTTTCATATCAAACCTTGTAAAAACATATATGATAAGCCAGTCATGAATACTGTAGATTTTACCAAAACATCAGAGTCATTAACTGAGATATAGGACTTTGTGTGTTTTGCTTGTCAAGTAGTAATCTGCAGAACCGTTGCAATCCAATGGGATACATTTTACTCAGATGGAAAATCAGTGGGACCCATGTAAGTATATAATATATAACAGATTACAGTTGCGTCTTAAAATAAATAAGGACAGATGATACAAGCATGTAGAAGAATAGAAAAGAAAATGCAGTTCACCTTCTATATTTGTTGGGATTAGGGGCACTGTACTCTCATGGAAGTGAAAAAAATTAGAAAAACTATTTTTTTTTAATTTGAGAGAACACCTCTCTAGGAATCTCTAGGTCTTCCAGCACAACTCTGTGGTTAACTTCCACCTGATGTTGGTAACATAATCCCATTGGATGATCAAAAAAATACCTAGAGAGATATTCAATCTAGGAATCTCTAGGTCTTCCAGCAAAACTTCTGGCAGAAATGGACCACATAGTTTCACTAGAGGACCTAGAGATTCCTAGGGAGAATATATTAATCAAAATAATGAATAAATAAATCATCAAAGGTCAAACCCACAAATGTGGAGGGCCAACTATATTCAGGATACTATCACTTCAATAAATTAAATGGGGATACTAACATAACATGCTTTTGAAAACAATATTTGGAAATTGAACATAGGTGATTCATCTAAACCACTACCTGTCTTACTGTGAACCAATGTACAGACCAAATGTAATTATCTGGAAACAGAACAGTCATCTCACCACAGCTACGGATATTGCCACAGAAGAGGAAATATGACAGTGACATTTTTTTTAGTAATAATGTAAGAAGCTACCAGCAAATGTTTAGCAATTCTTCACTTGCAAGTGAAGTAGAGAGGAAGAAACAAGTAAATTATATAACAAGACACATTTCCGTTTTCTCACATATCCTTGACATTGCATCAAACATTTAAAAAACTATAACTGACAACTAACAAAAAACAAATGAATAATTGTAGTTTTCACTAACCCCTCACCTAAGAAGGAAAGCAAAATGAGAAATTTTAATTTCCAGTAACTCTTACAAATTACACATTGTACCAACATATATGGAAGTTAGTATCTTCAGGATGCTCTTTCAATTAAAGAGTATAACTTTGCTGCAAGGAGCAAGAACTATATGTTGAAATTAGACTGGGATGGGAAAAATATTGAAATAGAAATGGTAGGATCAGCAAGAAAAACTGCCACCTGCTGACACATTTGGCCAGCATGAATGAGCATTCACACTCAGGGGAATTGCTGTTGAAATCTAACACTACATCAGCTTGGCTCCTGCAAATCTTTTAAGATACCATATTCATAGTATGATGACATTCCTCTTTGTGTTAATGGAATTGCAACTTGACAGGGGAACATCTGGTCCTCTAGGCTCTGTTTGTAACTATTCAGAAGGCAGGCAATAGTTTGAGAGTCCCTTGTGTAATCTCCTTGTTGTGCAATCTATATAACCACTGTGTTCTTGAACAAAAAAAATTGAAATAATGTTAGTGTCTTACTTCATATTACACAAATTCTGCCACATCCATTTTAAAAGTTCTTAAGTTTTCAAAGCATTTGAAAGCAATAGCCAAATCTTTTAATACTGCATTATCACATATCCAGAAACTGGGTAAAAACCTGGGCTTGCTTTGATTAGGATTTTTCTACTCCACATTGGGTAGCTACTTACACCAAAACAGAAAACCTGCCACTGAAATGGGGACAAGAGAGAATGCAGATCTATATGAAACTAACATGTGTTTATTTACACATGCCTATGCAAATGAAATAATATTTTTAATTTAAGGAGTCATAACATACCGTGTCCCTACTAAGTTTGCTGTCAAGGTGTGAACCAACTGCTTTAAAGCTTCCATACAGTTGCTTCTCATAGTTCCTTAAAATTACCTACCTTGGAATGGGGAGTGCTTCAAATAGAGAACCATTTCCTTTAACTTAGGCCACTTGACTACCCTCACTTCACACTTGTCTCGTACTTACTTTCCATTAAAACAGATAAAACATCAGCAACTGGATTATCCCTCCAGATAATTCTGCTGCACACTTGTGCCATCTCTTTTCCTGTAGGAAGTATCTTCAGAAGGGTTGGAAGAACCGCCAATGTTGGACTGAGGCTCAGGGCAGATGGAAGGCTAACAGCTTTATTGAACATTTCCTTCCATGCAGTCCACACACTCAGATGTCTGTACATATATGAGCATCCCAGGATCACAGATGAATGGAAAAACTTAGCAAAAGCTGTGTTCTACACAGAGAGAGCTGGCATTCATTGCTCCAGCTGTAGTTTTTCCAGCTGCTGCAACCTCAAGAACTATTGTTTCCCCATGCCACACATTTCTTCAGTAATGTTTATGGTGGATATTCAAATATGAAAAATAATGTTAACAGCTCCCAATTTGACTAGTGCTATGATTTACTCTTAGAATCAATAATCTTTGATTCTCTAGATGTTTTAGACCACAGCTCCCATAATTTTTCATCACTGGCCATGCTAGGACTAAACCAAGGTTTTAATCCTATTTTGGCACACAAACACTGGAAGAAGCCTGTGGGAATCAGGCAGCCTTCTGGGCATTACTAGATTGCAATATCCAGCATTTTTGGCTGTCGAAAACTGCTAAGAGTTCAAGTCCAGTGACAGAGATATGCATGTTTCCTAACTCTGGGGTAAATGTTTTCAAGCTGATCACACACTCTTAATCTCAACATTTACTCACATGGATAAGAATTATATTTAGGCCATTAGCAAGATGCATCAAGAAGGGTCACACAATAAAAATGTATAAGTCTTAAAAGTTCTCAAACAAAAAAATAAAACCACTGCCTCTTCTTAGACCTGCACAATGATCACCTCTGCCAGATCCACATTATAAAATGTGATAAGTTTCTGGGGCCATCAGCAGATACACAGAAATAAATGTTTATGATTAAATCAGTTTCCAACTAGGGCACTTCTAAAAGCAGAGCAAAAAGTAAGGAAGACCAGAACATTAAAATAAAGAGCTGGAATCCTTCTTTAGCTTTAATGCTCCTGCCAGATGCCAGTTCAAAGGGATACAGAACATCATTACATGCACTGTCTTGTTCTGATAAGGGGCATACATGGATTTATAGACTTCATTGTCTCCAGGAAAGATGGATTTCAGAGCTCCTTCTCAGCTAGCAAATGGCTGATATGTTTTGCCCAACAATAATCAGATCTGGAACATCATGGTTATCTGAAAGGGATGAAGAGGGTTCAGTAATCTCTGTTTTTCAGGATAAGGAACTTACTTGATTATTTCCAGGACTTCCATATGCCCTCCACAGAGGAATGATGATTTCATGGTGTGTCTGGGAGGTGACTATCTCTCTCTTTCCTGGGGAAATACAAGCACACTGTTCAAAGTCCTGAACTCTTGAAAAGGTCATCACAGAGGAGCAGCACAAGGTGAATTAACATCTGGTCCCTTAAATCATTCACATCTTCTATTGTCCCCCTCCCCAATATTTTTCTCTGCCAATCTGCACCGTCCTTTATGTATTTTCCTGATGCAAACAAAGATTTAAGTCATGAAAGCAAATGCTATTATGTCACTTGGGAATAGCAGCTGATAACATGAAAAATTAAACAAGTATCCAGATATATCTTTAAAACCCCAAACTATAACTGAACATCCTTATTTCTCCTCCCTTTGAAAAAGACAATTCCTGCAGACTCTACTGTCACCCTCTGTATCAAGAGTTGTGGGAATATCACTTGTGGGCCCCAAGGCCATTTTGAGGTCTTCAAGGGTCACAAACACCTAAATGGGAGGGTTTGTTTCTGCCTAAAAGAAATATCTGTGTCACCTAGATAGTTTGGGGTAAATTTCACTCTGCCCCTCCTTGTGTTCTTTTAGACCAGTGGTTCTCAACCTGTGGGTTGCCAAGTGTTTTGACTTACAACTCCTAGAAATCCCAGCCAATTTACCAGGTGTTAGGGTTTCTGGGAGTTGAAGGCCAAAACATCTGGCGACCCACAGGTTGAAAATCACTGTTTTAGACCCAGGATAGATAGATAGATAGATGATAGATAGATAGATAGATAGATAGATAGATAGATAGATAGATAGATAGATAGATAGATAGACAGACAGACAGACAGACAGACAGACAGACAGATATTTCCACACAGAAAGTAACATAGAATGTTACTTTCTTAACTGAAGGAGAAAAGGCTTTCATTTTAACAGCATAAGAGGAGCAAAAAAAATCTAATTGGTCCTTGCAACCTCTTTTTGGTTAAAAAGATGTTTTGAAGTAAAAGATGCCTTTCTGGACTTTAGGGGACACAACAAGTGTTCTCCAAGTTCCCATGGTAGGCAAGTATGGCCCTGCAGCCTCCTACGGTTGCCCATCCCAGTCTGTAAGGTAACTATCTATCCACCAGGCCTTCTAAAATGAAGGCAATCATTCCCTAGCCTGAAGGCCCCCTTCCTGCCTTGTCATATGTTAAAAGGTGACAATTGGTGTTGACAAGTTTTCAGAACAGCAATTAAAATTTGTGACATATTGAGTTGACAATCAGAAAGCAGTTATTACCAAGTTTGTGTCTACCTAAATCTATATAAATAAAAATGTAATGTTCATTTGTGAGATTAACATAACTCAATAACCATTAAATGAATTGACACAAAATTTGGATACAATACACCTATCAGGCCAATGAGTGACCATCACTCGTAAAAACACTGAAAAACACAGTGGAAGAGACTTGAAAAGCAAAAAAACCCCATTATAATGCATGCTTAAAACCACACATATATACATACATACACATATATACACACACAAAACACATATACACAGACTGGGCCACAGCAACGCATGGCAGGGGATGGCTAGTGCCAAATAAAAGTATTCATTTCAGTTAACTTCACCATGTTTGTAAAATTAATCTGTTCCCTGTATTCACAAATTATACAATGCACACATAAAGGATAAGCATCCCAAAATACAGAAGGGGCATCTTGTTTAGTTTATTTAAAAGGAGTAGTCTTCCAATTCTCCAACAAGAGATGCAATAGCAGGAGATACCCACCAATCCTATAGGGCAGGGGTAGGGAACCTTTGGCCCTCCAGCTGTGGTGGACTTCAACTCCCACAATTCCTTGAGGCTAGGCATTCGCCCCAAAGGCTTACCTTGGCCCAATGCCGAGCCTCAAGGAATTGTGGGAGTTGAAGTCCACCACAGCTGGAGGGCCAAAGGTTCCCTACCCCTGCTATAGGGGATGCTTTCCAGCCTTCAAATAAGATAAAAAATTGCATTGGTCATGAAAGTCAACAAGGAACTCAAACCTGAGAAACTTCTGTCTAACTTTTGTTAATGTCCTAATGTTTCAAATTAACAATGTGATCCTAAATATGTGAACACAAAAGTAAATCTGTTTGAATTGAATGGCAGTCGCCAATGAATAAGTGTGTATGGGAATGCAGTCTAAAAGGATCTATTTTTAAGCCAAAACCTAACACCCTTCATACAAAAGCAGCTTTCAAAAGGGAGCAGAATATAGATTGAGGCTGCCTTGTCAAGCCAAGCAAGAACTTCCACCCCAATCAAAGGATGAGTCATTTGAGATAGGATTCAGTCCCCTGAATGGGCTCCCAGGACCAGAGTGCATAGAGTCCTGGAATAAGCTCTGTACACGTGGAAAGCAGAATCATAGAAACACAACATTCAACAGGACCACAGGTGCCTCCAGTTCAAATCACTGCCACACAGGAATACACAGTAAAACACTCCTAACAAATGGTCATTCAGCCCTCTATTTAAAAATCTTCAGAGAAGGAGACTCCACTACACTCCAAAGCAGTGCATTTAATTGTTTAATACTTAAGTTTCTACAGTAAGAAAGTAATTCCTAATGTTTGGATGGAATCCCTTTTCCTGTTGTTGGAATGTATTGTTCCATGTCCTAGACTGTGTAGCAGCAGAAAATAACCTTCAATATGATGTCCCTTCAAATATTTAAACATTGCTGTCATGACACCTCCTAAAGTTCTCTTCTCCATATTCTTCTTGAATTCTGGTGCCTAGAAATGGACACAGTATTCCAGGTGAGGTCTGATCAGAACAGAATATAGGTGAACAATTATTTCCCTTTTATAGCTGTCCCATTACATGGTTAACCTCATGTTCAGCTCGTGGTCTACTAAGAGTACTTTCCTTCATTACCCAAAAGTCTGAGTCTGCCCACATTTATTAAGAGTTGCATTTATTTAGGATAGGATTGGTATCATAGCTTAATTTCCAGATATGTATTGTTTTAGGAAGTGAATATGCCTCCTCTCATGGTTTATTTATTTAATATCCCAAAATCCCACCCTTCCACTGAAGAAGGCTCCATGCTGGGATACACCATCCCAATTTACAACTACAACATCCTTGTGAAACATTGTTGTTTGAAAGAAGCACTGCTTGAATATCAAGCAAAGCGTGAGTGCTGGAAACAATATCATGCAAAAGCTGACTGGCACAACCTGGGGATCACAACCAGACACAGTGAAGACATCTGCCCTTGAACTTTACTACTCTGCTGCTGAATATGCGTGCCCAGTGTGGAAAAATCTTGCCATGCTTAAACAGTGGATGTGGCTCCTAATGAGACATGCCACATTGTCACAGGATGTCTATGCCCCACACCACTGGAGAAATTACACTGTTCAGTTGGTATTGCACCACCTGACATCTGCTGGGAAGTAGCAGCCAATAATTAAAGGACCAAGGGATTGACATCTTCAGCCCATCCTCTATTTAGATATCGGCCAGAATGGCAATGCTTTCAATCAAGAAATAGCTTCCTAAGATCTACAGAAATACCCAAATGAACACCGCAGTAAGCAAGAGTCCAAAAGTGGCAGGCTAAAACCCAGCACCTCAATCAGTGGCTGAGGCCAGATGAGAAACTCGCTCCTGGTTGTCTACAGAAGGGTGAACAACCTGGAAGGTACTGAACAGACTGCTCTAGCACCTCAAGATGCAGAGCTAATTTTAAGAAATTAGGCTATAAAGTGGAGTCCACAACATGCGAGTGTGGAGAAGAGCAAATCACAGACTACCTACTACAATCCAACCTGAGCCCTACCACATGCACAATGGAAGACCTTCTCACAGCGACACCAGAGGCACTCCAAGTGGCCAACTTCTGGTCAAAGGACATTTAGCATAATACCAAGTTTTTTGTTTGTTTGTTTTTTTTTAAAAAAACCTTTGTGTTTCTAAATGCAACTCACTTCTGACATGATAAATAAATAAAGTTTTGTTTGAGAAGTTGTGACTAGTTTAAACTCATTCAACAAACCCCAGGGCTGGATGGGACTTTGAGCCTGTGTCTTCTGATCCAGCACTTTATATTCTCCATCTGTCTGACTCTGGGTTGTATGCCCGCATGGCATTCTAACAAGTCGATGGGACCCTGAGATGAGTGTGAACAGCTTCTGTGTTTAGTCCCAATTAAAGGCTACTCCTTTCATTGGTCTTGTTGACACAAGATGCGACATGTTGTCAAGGAGAGAGGAGGAAAAAAACTTCTCAGGTTCTATTCCTGTAACATCCCTCTGGGCATCCCTATTGAACATCCTTCCACAAACGAACATGCTGCTTCTGAATGGAGACTTCTTTGCTAACAGAGAGAAGACCTCATCACACTAGAGAATGAATCCACTTTAAATCCAGTTGCTGCCTCCTGCAGAATTCTGGGATTTGTAGTTTAGAGAGGGGCCTTTAACAGCCTCACTAAACTACAAACCCCAGAATTCTGAAGGAGGCAGCAACCGGATTTAAAGTGGATTCATTCTCTAGAGTGATGAAGTAGAGAATGAATGGTGGTGGGGGGGGGGGGGGGGGGGGGGGGGGGGGGGGAGAGGAATGGAAACTACTAGATTTCCACAGACATCACTCTTGGAATAGCCTAAGGATGATTAATGTTGTCCCAAAGCAGTTGCTCCACTCCGAACTCAAGAATGGAAAATAGAATGTGGGCAGAGATTTAAAGATGGGCTCAAAGCCAACCTTAAAAACTCTGGCGTAGACACTGAGAACTGGGAAGCCCTGGCCCTTGAGCACTCCATTTGGAGGTCAGCTGTGACTAGCAGTGCTGTAGAATTTGAAGGGTCACAAATGAAGGGCGAAAGAGAGAAATGTGCCAAGAGGAAGGTGCATCAAGCCAACCCCGACCGCCTTCCACCTGGAAACCAATGCCCTCACTCCGGGAGAACATGCAGACCAAGAATAGGATGGACCCACTGCCAGTACACTGATCTTTGAAGACAATCCTACTCGGACTACGAGGGATCGGCTAAGTAAATAAGTAGTCCTGGTATAGCAGGTATGGGCAAACTTGGACCCTCCCTCCAGGTGTTTTGGAGGGAGTTGAAGTCCAAAACACCTGGAGAGAGGGCCCAAGTTTGCCCATGCCTTTGGGAAAACGTTTGCCTCCACTGTTCTCTCTATATCAATGTTTCTCAACCTGGGGGTCGTGAGGGGATGTCACCAAAGACCATCAGAAAACACAGTATTTTCTATTGGTCATGGGGATTCTGTGTGGTAAGTCTGGCCCAATTCTATCGTTGGTGGGGTTCAGAATGCTCTTTGATTGTAGGTGAACTATAAATCCCAGCAACTACAACTCCCAAATGTCAAGGTCTATTTTCTCCAAACTCCACCAGTGTTCAAATTTTCGCAAATTGAGTATTCGTGCCAAGTTTGGTCCAGATCCATCATTGTTTGAGTCTACAGTGCTCTCTGGATATAGGTGAACTACAACTCCAAAACACAAGGCCAATGCCCAACAAACCTTTCCATTATTTTCTCTTGGCCATGAGAGTTTTGTGTGCCAAGTTTGGTTCAATTCTATCATTGGAATGCTCAGAATGCTCTTTGATTTTAGGGTGAACTATAAATCCCAGCAATGACAACTCCCAAATGACAAAATCGCACACACCTTCTCCAACACTGGCCAGATTTGGTCCATTGAGTGAAAATACATCTTGCATATTGGATATTTACATGAAGATTCATAACAATAGCAAAATTACAGTTATGAAGTAGCAATGAACAGAAGGTTATGGTTGGGGGTCACCACAACATAAGGAACTGGATTAAGGGGTCGTGGAATTAGGAAGGTTGGGAAACACTGTTCTCTAGTTTCCTTGCTTACCTGTGCTTCCCGCCTCCTCCCGTGCAGACCCCTGTCTCAGCCACAGCACGACCAAGGGCAGCCAATGCAACCGAGCCCCTGCAGGCAGGCCCCCCATGGCCAGCTCTGGGGTGGAAGAAGGGAGGCCTCAGAGGCAGGCAGCCTCAGCCTGTCCTCCCGCCGCCTCCATCCAGGCTGCGCCCTGAGAAGGATGCTCCCTTGTTGCTGCTGCTTTTCTTCCTTCCTTCCTTTGGAGCCACTTTATTGCAAGGGCTTCCAAGCTCCGCCCATCATGGAAAGCAAGGCGGGCGGGGAAAGGAGAGCAGGTCCCTTCCAGGCAGCATCCCTGAGACAGAAAGAGCAACGCTGGCGTTCTCGCCTTCCGGACAGTCTCTGTTGTATGTCAGCCGATGGCCCGGAGATGGGCCTTCATTGTTGTCATCCGAGGGAGGATGGGAGGGCGCTTCTCCTCAATTATTCAGACTCTGTATTGTCGAAGGCTTTCATGGCCGGAATCACTGTGTTGTTGTGGTTTTTTTCGGGCTATATGGCCATGTTCCAGAAGCATTACCTCCTGACGTTTCACCTGCATCTATGGCAGGCATCCTCAGAGGTGGTGAGGTCTCTGCTGCTTAACCCACATCAGCGGCAAGTCGAGGGCTGTTGCCTTGGAGGAAAGGCCGGCAATAAATCCCAGGTGCTGCAGGCCGCTCCACACAGCCCTATATCCCAGAGGCAGAATATCCTACACAATATCCACTTTGAACCGGGTTATCTGAGTCCACACTGCTCTATATTCCAGAACAAAGCAGACACTGTGGGATTTCCTGCCTCTGGGATATAGGACTGTGTGGAAGGGTCCTTAGAGGGAGCCTCCTCTGAGGATGCCTTGCCTAAGACAATCCTGAGAATCGACTCCAAGGCGCAGGCACACGGATCTTGCAAAGGGCTCTCCATCCGGCCCGAAACGGTGGAGCCAGCCCCCCCCCCCCCCCCCCCCCCCCCCCCCCCCCCCCCCCCCCGCCCGGGAGGTTTCCCGCGGTTGGCAACAGATCGGCAATTCTGTCGGGAAGAAGACCGCGACTCCGTGGCTGCAAAGAATGAAAATGCCGAAGGGAGGCGTCTGGGAGTGGAAGAGCCTCCCTTCTCTGCCGGGCGCCTTGGCCTTGCTCCTCACCTCCCACAAAGCCTCGCAGGTCCTCACAGCGCCGCAGCCTTGTTCCGGATACTATACAACACTTCCCAATCCCGTCCATTCATCTCCCCCGCTAATGGTTTAGCTAGGGATGTTAGGCTGTGGATTGCATGGTCCTCGAGCCCCGCCGTAGGTGGCCGTGTGTAATGTATTACTTGGGCTGCGAAGGACACAAGCACATCTCTCGCTCGCTCGCTCGCTCGCTCTCACACATTCTGTTCCTCTGTTGCCCTTCATCACATTCACTTGCCCTTTGTTTTCTCAGACAGAATGGGGGACGATGCCTGGCTCAAGAGCAGTACACGCAGCTTAAAAAGCCAATGGGATTTTGGCCTTCATCAATAGGAGTCTAGTGTCTAGATCCAGGGAAGTCATGCCACCCCTCTATTCCACCTTGGTCAGACCACACCTGGAATCACATTGTGTCCAATTCTGGGCACCGCAATTGAAGGGAGATGTTGACAATGTGTCCAGAGAAGGGCAGCTAAAATGTCCAAGGGTCTGGAGGACAAGCCCTATGAGGAGCAGCTAAAAGAGTTGTAAGTTTAGCCTGTAGAAGAGAAGGCTGAGTGGAGAAGTGGAGACATGATAAAGGCCATGTATAAATATGTGAGGGGAAGTGAAAGGGAGGAGGGAACAGGCTTGTTTTCTGCTGCACTGGACACTAGGACACGGAACAATGGCTTCAAACTACAGAAAAAAAAGATTCCACCTGAACATTAGGAAGACCCTCCTAACTGTTCAGCAGTGGAACTATCTGCCACGGAGTGTGGTGAAGGCTCCTTTTTGGAGGCTTTTAAACAGAAAATGTGATTGTCCTGCTTCTTGGCAGGGGGTTGGACTGGATGGCCCACGAGGTCTCTTCCAACTCTAAGATTCTATTATTTGTTGTCATGTTTCCTCTGACTTATGGCAACTCTACCATACAGTTATCTAGGCCAGATGTATTTGGAGAAAGTTTGCCATTGCCTTCCTCTAAGGTTGAGACTAGGAACCACACCCTCTAAATTTCAGAGGAAGTCTACTCAAGTCAACTTTATTTATATCCTGTCCCATTTCCCCTTGGGGACTTGGGGCAGCTAACAACATGGATGGTATCCACTTGATGCCATCCATGTTGTTTGTATTTTTGTGTACAAAAACACAAAATACAAGTGCATATTTTGTGTGTGTGTCAGGAGCAACTTGTGAAACTGCAAGTCTTTTCTTGTGTGAGAGAATTGGCTGTCTGCAAGGACATTACCCAGAGGATGCCAGGACGTTTTACCATCCCAAGGGAGGCTTCTCTTATGTCCCTTCATGGGGAGCTGGAGCTGACTGATGGGAGTTCACCCCACTCACTAGATTCAAACTACCGACCTTTTGGTCAACAGTCCTGCCTGCACAAGGGTTCAACCCATTGCACCACCAGAGGCTCCACATAATAAATTAAAAGCAAATAATTAATACAATAATGTATCATAACTAAGACATAATAGCAATAATCAAAACACAAGCCAATGCCAAATCTCCTCAAAACACATCTAGATATTTCTGCTTTAGGTCACCATTGCTTCAAAACTACTGGAAGCCATGTAGCAACAAGAAGGTTGAGAATGGATGTCTTCTGGGAAGCTCTCACTAAAATCCTGTTCATAATCTAATTAATTATTCATGCTTACTAAGGGCTTTGTCACACCAGGTTCTTCTCCCACTTCAACAGCATTGTTGCCGAAATGTTATTCAATTGTGGTTGCTCTCTTTCCTTTTGGAACCATTCCAGGATTGCATTAAAAACTTATCACATGCAGCACTTAGAACTGCCCACCCACAACCTCCTCCAAGACAGCGTCCCTCCCCTTTTGCTAGATTGGCACTCATGAATGCATACACAGACAGGAACCCCCCCCCCCCCCATAAGTGGAAACAGTCTTACATTTCCGTTTTGTTTTACTTGGTGAGGGGGAGCCTACTGATTGGGATAGACCAAACTTCTATCTGGACCGAATGAATCTGTTGCAGATGAAAGTCAGCCACCACTGAGCTATCTGCTCAGTTTATCCTGGTAATCTTGACATTAGTTAGTTAAATCTGAAGAAATCTAGAAGATAGCAAGCAAGCCAGCAAGTAATGTTTTCCTTAAAACTGTAACACTCTTTTGCACTTATATTTCCAGGCATGTGTGTGTGTGTGAATGGAAAAGGGGGGAGGAGGGTCAGGGGCGCAATGAGCAAAGTTTTTGCTTCTCTGACAAGCCCAGTGGTCATTTGGCAATGTTTTTTTTCTATTGAGAAATGAAGTCAAACAGCCAATTGAAAGGAAATAAAATTGAAGTGACCACCCGTCTCTGAATATTTCCCTAGCAACCCTCCTAAAACCCAAAATCACCATAAAAGCACAATTGAACTTTCACACAGGAAATTGTAGCATATCAGTAATGGGGGGAAAGGTCATGATTGGGTTTTTTTTTGTGTGTTTTAAAACTGCTAATGCTTTCAAAATGGTCTCATTGGAGAAAAGCAGAAGAGGAATGACATCATCAGATCATCTCCAACTAAAGGTGTAATTTGTTGTTTCTTATTCATTCAGTTGTTTCCAAGTCTTTGTGACCTCATGGACCAACCCACACCAGAGTTCCCTGATGACCTTGACCACCCCCAGCTCCTTCAAGGTCAAGCCAGTCACTTCAAGGATACCATCCATCCATCTTGCTGTTGGTTGGCCCCTCGTCCTTTTTCCTTCCATTTTCCCCAGCATCATTATCTTCTCCAAGCTTTCCTGTATTCTCATTATGTGACCAAAGTACTTCATCTTGGCCCCTAATATCCTTCCTTCCAGTGAGCAGTCAGGCATTATTTCTTGGAGGATAGACTAGTTGGATCATCTTGCTGTCCAAGGCACTCTCAGAATTTTCATCCAACACCACAGTTCAAAAACATCTATCTTCCTTTGCTTCGCCTTCCTTATGGTCCAGGTTACAACAGGAAATACCATTGCTTAAACTATGCAGACCTTCATTGCCAGTGTGATGTCTCTACTCTTCACTATTTTATTGAGATTGGTCATTGGTCTCTACCCAAGAAGTAAACGTCATCTGAATTCCTGGGTGCAGTCTGTGACTGCAGTAATCTTGGATCCTAGAAATACAAAGCCTGTCACTACCTCCGTGTTTTCTTCCTCTATTTGTCAGTTATCAAGGTGTCATTACCATGATGTAATAATGATTTACCTGCCTTGTATGATAAAGCTCTAAAGGACCTTTGCAATAGTTGTATTGTTACCTTCCGCTATCCCATATGATTCAGTTCTATCCTCTACAAAGATATGCATTTATTCTGAGTTCTTACCTACTTGAATACACTCAGGTCATCTTAAAATTAATGGGTGTCAAGTCATATTTTTTTCCCCATTGTTTTGAATGTGACCTGTTGAAATGTCTTAGTTTGGCTTCAACTCAAGGTGTCAGTTAATGTCTCTGTCAAGGTAAGTAAATGGAATGGCAGACAATGCAAAGCACATGTTCAATTCATTTGAGAGTTTTGATTCCGATTCAAAACATTGAGTAAACGTGTGGCTAGATAAACAAGTAAATGTCACCATCCAAAACATGATATTAAAATCTACTTTCATTTATGGGGCTTGCTTTCATGAACCTTTTCAAGGGGAGGATTGCTATTTAATCCCAAACCCCATACAATAAATATCAGGTCAGAAGAGTTATTTTTATACCAGTGCACATGTACTTATGGGTATAGAGTGTGTCTATACACACATCGTACATATGACAAAATGATCCCTAGACAAAAAATGTACTATTTTTAAATGATACCAGGCCTTTTGTTGTTTTGGAGAAAATAATGTTCTTCTGGGGGCTTGTGGTTAATGCTTTTTTCATGGAAAGATCATCTGTAGAGTAGTGGTTTAGGTTTTGTGTCTCCAGCCATTTCCTTTGGATTCACAGAGTATTAGCAATGCATACATTGTGGCAATCACATTCTTTGATTGTACAAAACTGAGCTCTTGTTTTCTAGGGTTTGCAGAGTATGGAATTTGATGGAGGACAATGA